TAGGGTAGATGAACGAATCCCTCCTCATAATCTCAGTTTCAAAAATTGAATGTGTGTGAAAGCCGAAAATCACAAATCTCCTCCGGATCACATAGTTTGTTTACAGTGAGGAACACACTACATAAATATACATTGGCAGGTACAGTTTCCAACAAGGTTTTACAGTGAAAACATCATGAACTTCAAACCGAAAATATTAAACATACCGTGAAATCAGAGTATGAGTTTCTAGTGGTACCTATTCTCTTTATGCTATATGAATAAACGTCTCTCCACTTGCTGAGTACTGAGAGTTAAGACTGTGTGAAAGCCATCAATAAACTAGTTTGTACGGAACACAGAGTTTCATTCAGTGGGAAAACAATCTACATACATATATATGGGGGTAATAGCTCAACTCGGTTTAACAGTGAAAATTGCATGAACTTCAAACAGACACTAAAAAACATACTGAAAAACCAGAGGAAGTGTTACTACTGCAAACCATTCACTTTCTGCTAGATGAATGGACGTCTGTCCACATGATGAACTCTGAGAAAAAGTCTGTGTGAAATCCGTGAATCACCTGACTTGTTGTGAACACATTGTTTCTTTCTACAGGAAAAAAAATTTATAGATATATATTGGGAGGTAGTAGCTCGAACTCGATTTCACAGTGAAAACTACATGAAAGTCTAAGCGGTTCTGGGAAACATAATGAGAAACAAGAGAAAGTGTTATAACTGACACCCATTCACTTAATAATAGATAGATGAACGACACTACACATGCTCAATTACGAGAGAGATGTGTGTGTGAAAACAGACAATAACCTAGATTTTTGGGAACACAAAGACACTTTTCAGGTGGAAAAAACTCTACAAACATACATATGGGGAGGTACAAGCTCCAAAACGGATTTACATTGAAAATTGCAGGAAATTAAAATCGGCACCATGAAACAGACTGAGAAACAAGGGTGAGGGTTCCTCCAGAAACAAGTATCCATTGTGCAACATGAACGAAAGTATATCCGCATGTATATCTTTCAACTAAAACGAAAGTATGTGTTCCCAACAAGTTAGTATAACAACGGTTTTGAACACACTTATCTCTCAGAACTGAGCATGTGGAGAGAAGACATTTCATTTGGTACAAAGAAAAAGGATTGTAGGAGGAACACTTATTCTGGTATCTCAGTCTGTTTCCTAGTGCCGGTATGAAGTTCCTGCAGTTTTTACTGCAAAAGCGAGTTGGAGCTTGTAACTACCCGTATATATTTTTGTGGTGGAGGTTGTAAGTGAAAACAATATTTGTGTTCCCAAAAAGGAAGATGCAGGACGGATTTCACACATAGTTATACCTCAGAAATGAGCATGACGAGAGACTTTCGCTCATTTTTCACCAAGGGAACGTATTGCATGAAAACCACATACTCTGGTTTCCCGAACTGTTTCCTAGTGCTGGTTTGAAGTTCCTGCAGTTTTCACTGTAAAACCGGGTTGGAGATAGTACCTCTCAATACATATGTATGCAGTGGAGTTTCAAACTGAAAAGAAATTTTGTGTTCCAAACAAGTTAGGTGAAGGACGTCTCAAACACACAACTATCCCTCAAAATTAAGCATGTAGAGACACGTTCATTTATCATGAACAAAGGGAACAGGATGCAGGAGAAACAATTGCTCTGGTTTATCAGTCTGTTTCCTAGTGCCGGTTAGAAGTTGCTGAAGTTTTCACTGTAAATCCGAGTTGGAGGTAGTACCACCCCATATATATGTATGCAGTGGAGTTTGCAACTGAAAAGGAACTTTGTGTTCCCTTCAACCTAGGTGAAGGACGGCTTTCACACAAACTTATCTCTCAGAACTGAGAATGAAGAGACGTTCGTTCATCCAGCACAAAGGGAACGGGTTGCAAGAGAAACACGTACTCTGGTTTCTCAGTCTGATTCCTAGTGCCGGTTTGAAGTGCCTGCCGTTTTCACTGTAAAACCGAGTTGGAGCTTGTACCACCCCATATATATGTATGCAGTGGAGTTGGCAACTGAAAAGAAACTTTGTGTTCCCTTCAAGCTAGGTGAAGGACGGCTATGACACACACTTATCTCTCAGAACAGAGCATGTGGAGAGACGTTGGTTCATCCAGCACAAAGGGAACGGGTTGCAGGAGAAACACTTTCTCTGGTTTCTCAGTCTGTTTCCTAGTGCCGGTTTGAAGTTCCTGCAGTTTTCACTGTAAAATCGAGTTGGAGCTTATACCTCCCCATGTATATGTATGTAGTGGAGCTTGCAACTGAAAAGAAACTTTGTGTTCCCTTCAAGCTAGATGAAGGACGGCTTCCAAAAAACACTTACCTCTCATTAGATACCATGTGGACAGACGTTCGTTGATCCAGCACAAATGGAACGGGTTGCAAGAGAAACACTTACACTGGTTTCTCAGTCTGTTTCCTTTTGATGGTTTGAAGTTCCTGCAGTTTTCACTGTAATACCGAGTTGGAGCTTGTACCTCCCAACATATATGTATGTAGTGGATCTTGCAACTGAAAAGATTCTTTGTGTTCCCTTCAAGCTAGGTGAAGGACGGCTTTAACGGCACATTTATCGCTTAGAAATGAGCATGTGGAGAAACGTTCGTTCATCCTGCACAAAGAATCGGTTTGTAGGACAAACAATTACTCTGGTTTCTCAGTCTGTTTCCTAGTCCCGGTTTGAAGTTCCTGCAGTTTTCACTGTAAAAACGATTTGCAGCTTGTACCTCCCCATGTATATGTATGTAGTGGAGCTTGCAACTGAAAAGAAACTTTGTGTTCCCTTCAAGCTTTTTGAAGGACTGCTATCACACACACATATCTCTCAGAACTGTGCATTTGGAGAGACGCTGGTTCATCCACCACAAATGGAACGGGTTGGAGGAGAAACACTTTCTCTGGTTTCTCAGACTTTTTCCAAGTGCCGGTTTGAAGTTTCTGCTGTTATCACTGTAAAACCGAGTTGGAGCTTGTACCTCCCCATATATATGTATGGAGTGGAGTTTGCTACTGAAAAATAAATTTGAGTTCCCTTCAACCAAGGTGAAGGACGGCTTTCACACATACTTATCTCTCCGAACTGAGCTTGTAGAGACGTTCGTTCATACAGCACAAAGGGAAAGGGTTGCAGGAGAAACACTTACTCTGGTTTCTCAGTCTATTTCCCAGTGCCGGTTTTAAGTTCCTGCAGTTTTCACTGTAAAACCGAGTTGCAGGTTGTACGTCCCCATATATTTTTATGTAGTGGAGTTTGCAACTGAAAAGAAACTTTGTGTTCCCTTCAACATAGCTAAAGGACGTCTTTCACACATACTTATCCCTTAGAAATGAGTATGTGGATAGACGATCATTCATCCAGCACAAAGGGAACGGGGTGCAGGAGAAACACTTACTCTGGTTTCTCAGTCTGTTTCCTAGTGCCGGTTTGAAGTGCCTGAAGTTTTCACTGTAAAACCGAGTGGAGCTTGAAACTCCCCATATATATATATGAGTGGAGTTTGCAACTGAAAAGAAACTTTGTGTTCCCTTCAAGCTAGGTGAAGGACGGCTTTCACACACACTTATCTCAGAACCGAGCATGTGGAGAGACGTTCGTTCATCCAACACAAAGGGAACGGGTTGTAGGACAAGCACTTTCTCTGGTTTCTCAGTCTGTTTCCTAGTGCTGGTTTGAAGTTCCTGCAGTTTTCACTGTAAATCCGAGTTGGAGAGTGTATCTCCCCATATATGTATGTAGTGGATTCTGCAACTCAAAATAAATTTGTGTTCCCTTCAATTTAGGTGAAGGGGGCTTTCACATACACATATCTCTGTGAAATTATCATGTGGAGAGATGATCGTTCATCCAGCACAATGGGAACTGGTTGCACAAAAAGCACTTACTCTTGTTTCTCAGTCTGTTTCCTAGTGCCGGTTTGAAGTTCCTGCAGATTTCACTGTAAAACCGAGATGGAGTTGTCCATCCCCATATATATGTATGTTTGGAGTTTTCAACTGAAAACAAACTTTGTGTTCCCTTCAAGATAGGTGAAGGAGGGCATTCACACACACTTATCTCTCAGAATTGAGTATGTGGTGAAACGTTCCTTCATCCAGCACAAAGGGAACGGGTTGCAAGAAAATCACTTATTCTGGTTTCTCAGTCTTTTTCCTAGGGTCGGTTTGAAGTTCCTGCAGTTTTCACTGTAAAACAGAGTTGGAGCTTGTACTTCCCAATATATTTATGTAGTGGAGTTTGCATCTGAAAAGAAACTTTCTTTTCCCTTCAACCTAGCTGAAGGAGGGATTCACACATACATATCTCTCAGAACTGAGCATGTTTAGAGACATTGGTTCATCCAGCACAAAGACAACGGTTTGCAGGAGAAACACTTACTATGGTTTCTCACTCTGTTTCCTAGTTCGGTTTGAAGTGCCTGCAGTTTTCACTGTAAAACCGACTTGGAGCTTGAACAACCCCATATATATATATGTAAGGAGTGGATTTTGAAACAGAAAAGTAACTTTTCATTTCCTTCAAGCTAACTGAAGGTGGGCATTCACACACAATTATCTCTCAAAACTGAGCATGTGGAGAGACGTTCGTTCATCCAGCAAAAAGGGAACGGGTTGCAGGAGTAACAATTTCTCTAGTTAGTCTGATGCCTAGTGCTGTTTTGAAATTCCTGCAGTTTTCACTGTAAAACCGAGTGGGAGCTAGAACCTCCCCATATATTTATTTAGTGGAGTTTGCAACTGAAATGAAACTTTGTGCTCCCTTCAAGCTAGGTGAAGAATGGCATTCACAAACACTAATCTCTCAGAAGTGAGCATGTGGGGAGATGTTCGTTCATCCACCACAAAGGGAAGGGTTTGTACGTGAAGCACTTACTCTGGTTTCTCAGTCTGAATCCTAGTGCCGGTTTGAAATTCCTGCAATTTTCCCTGTAAAATCGAGTTGGAGCTTGTACCTCCCCATATATTTATGTAGTGGAGTTTGCAAGTAAAAATAAATTTTGTGTTCCCTTCACCTAGGTGAAGGTTGTTTTCAAACACACATATTTCTCTCAACTAAGCATGTGGAGAGAAGTTCGTTCATCCAGCACAAACGGAACGGTTTGCAGGAGAAACACTTACTCTGGTTACTCAGTCTGATTATTAGTGCTGGTTTGATGTCCCTGCAGTTTTCACTGTAAAACCGAGTTGGAGGTTGTACCTCCCCATATATTTATATGTAGTGGAGTTTGCAACTGAAAAGAAATTTTGTGTTCACTTCAACATAGCTGAAGGACGTCTTTCACACATAATATTCCCTTAGAACTGAGTATGTGGAAAGACGTTCGTTCATCCAGCACAAAGGGATCGGGTTGCAAGAGAACAATTACTCTGGTTTTTCAGTCTGTTTCCTAGTTGCCGGTATTGAAGTTCCTGCAGTTTTCACTGTAAAACCGAGTTGGAGCTTGTACCTCCCCATATATATGTGTGGAGTGGAGATTGCAACTGAAAAGAAACTTTGTCTTTCCTTCAAGCTAGGTGAAGGAGGGCTTCACACACACTTATCTCTCAGAACTGAGCATGTGGAGAGACGTTCGTTCATCCAGCACAAAGGGAACGGGTTGCAGGAGAAATATTTACTCTGCTTTCTCAGTCTGTTTCCTCGTGCCGGTTTTAAGTTCCTGCAGTTCTCACTGTAAAACCGAGTTGAAGCTTGAACCTCCCCATATATATGTATGGACGGGAGTTTGCAACTGAAAAGAAACTTTGTGTTCCCTTCAAGCTTGGTGAAGGACGGTTTTCACACACAAATATCTCTCATTAGTACCATGTGGAGAGACGTTCGTTCATCCATCACAAAGGAAACTTGTTGCAGGAAAAACACTTACTCTGGTTTCTCAGTCTGTTTCCTAGTGCCGGTTTGAAGTTCCTGCACTTTTCACTATAAAACCGATATGAGCTTGTACCTCACCCTATATACGTATGTCGTGGAGTTTGCAACTCAAAAAAACTTCGTGCTCCCTTCAATCTAGATGAAGGAGGCTTTCACACACACTTATCTCTCATTAGTTACCATGTGGAGAGACGTTCGTTCATCCAGCACAAAGGGAATGGGTTGCAGGAGAAACACTTACTCTGGTTTCTCAGTCTGTTTCCTAGTGCCGGTTTGAATTTCCTTCAGTTTTAACTATAAAAACCAGTTGGAGCTTGTACCTCCCCACATATATGTATGAAGTGGAGTTTGCAACTGAAAAGAAACTATGTGTTCCCTTGAAGCTAATTGAAGGACGCCTGTCACACACACTTATCTCTCAGAAATGAAGATGTGGAGAAACGATCATTCATCCAGCACAAAGGGAAAGGGTTACAGGAAAAACACTTACTCTTGTTTCTCAGTCTGTTTCCTAGTGCCGGTTTGAATTTCCTTCATTTGACTGTAAAACCGAATTGGAAATTGTACCTCCCCGTATATATGTATGTATTGTGGTTTGCAGTTGAAGAGAAACTTTGTGTTCCCAAAAACTTAAGTGAAAGTCTGCTTCCACACACACTTAAATCTCATAACTGAGAATGTGGAGAGTCGTTAGTTCATCTAACAGAAACGAAACGGGTTGCAGGGGAAACAATACTCTAGTTGCTAATTCCGTTTCCTAGTGCTGGTTTGATGTTCCTGCATTTTTCAATGTAACACCGAGTTGGATCTTGTTACTCCCTATATAAATGTATGTAGTAGGGTTTGCATCTGAAAGGAAACTTTATGTTCCCTTCAAGCT